AGATGCCCAAGAGGGGGTGAATTGGGCTAATTCTAAATTTTCTTGCAATAATTAAATCCTATGGTTAGTCCAATTAACTCCTTGTGCCTAGAAAAGTGTTTCTATTAATATAACGCATAAAAGGACTTGCAACCTATGTTCCAAATTTACTCTAGCATGGCAATTCTATATGAATATAAAGACAAGTATTGAATAGCTCAAAATAAATGCTCAATGTAAATGCTCAAAGTAAATGGAGAGAGAGGAACGCGACGATGTTTTGCCAAGGTATCGGAGAGTCGCCACTCCCCACTAGTCCTCGTTGGAGCACCCGCGCAAGGGTGTAGCTCTCTCTTGATCCACACAAGGATCAAGTGCTCTCTATGGGTTGATTCTTCGACACTCCATCACGGTGAATCACCCACAACCGCTCACAACTTGAGTTGGGTCATCCACAAGCTCTCCTGATGATCACCAAGCTCTCCAATCACCACCAAGTCGTCTAAGTGATGGCGATCACCAAGAGTAACAAGCACGAACTCTCACTTGACCACGACAAGCCTAGGGAGAAGGGTGGATGCACACTTTGCTACTCTTGATCTCACTAATGAGGGCTCCCTTTGGGATTCTCAAATCTCAATCACATCACTAGGACCTTGCTCTTCTTGGCACTCTCTAAGGTGTGTTTCAGCTTTTGGAATGAGCAAAAGTGACTCCACACACAAGTGGAACTTCAATTTATAACAAGGGCTGAAAAACGAACCGTTATGTGCCTCTACGGGGTGACCGGACGCTCCGGTCATGTTGACCGGACGCTCTGGTCAGTTCAACCCGCACACCAGTGTTTAAGTGTTGATCGGACGCTGGTAGGGTCCGATCACCACTGACCGGACACGTCCGGTCACAAATATCCCTCACTGGAACCTTATTGTACTCGACCGGACGTTGAACCCCTAGGGTCCGGTCAGTACTGACCGGACGCGTCCGGTCACAGAATTCCTTCTCTAGAACCTTACTGGAGTCGACCGGACGCTGGTCCACAGCGTCCGGTCACTCGACCACTCAGCGTTCGATCGCGCAGACGCAATCTCCTTAGTCAAATGAATTGATCGGACCCTGCGGCCAACGTCTAGTCAGTATTTGACCCTCCATTCACTTCCAACTCTCAATAAAATGTGAATGAAGTTTGCTCCATAGGATCTAAGGGCTTTATTGGAGCTACCTAGTGCTAGACTTAGCAAGTGTGCACCACACCTAACTCACTAGACTCACCTAGGTCAAGCTACCCATCCATACCCCCCTTAATAGTACGGTCAAAGGAAAAATAAAGTCCTAAACTACTCTAAGTGTATCTCCAACTCCAATCGACACTTAGAACTAGTCATCCTTAACCTTATCGTCCATCATTTGAAAACCAAAACGATTTCCATCGTAGGAGCATGACATCCATGATTGCCCAATCGATCTCCATTACCATGACCTAACTTAATTGCCTCTACAAAACACATATTAGTCATAGTAATCTTGTATTGTCATTAATCACCGAAACCCAACTAGGGGCCTAGATGCTTTTAGGACTATCACAAAAGGCACACATAGAGAAAATCTTAAAGAAATTCAGTATGCACAAATGTAGTCCCTCACCTGCTCCTATAGTCAAGGGCGACAGATATGAGGATTTTCAATGCCCTAGGAACCAATATGAGATCGATCAAATGAAAGCGGTTCCATATGCTTCAGCTGTCAGAAGCTTGCAATATGCTCAAGTATGTACGCGCCCTGACTTGGCATTTGTTACCGGGTTACTTGGTAGATTCCAGAGCAATTCTGAAATAGAACACTGGAAATTAGTAAAGAAAGTCTTGCGTTATTTGCAAGGAACGAAAGGCCTCATGATGACGTATAGAAGATCTGATTCACTCCATATAGTAGGGTATTCAGATTCTGATTATGCGGGAGATGATAGAAAATCCACGTCTGGATATGTATTCACTCTCGCAGGGGGAGCTATTTTATGGAAAAGCTCAAAATAAACCGTCATTACATCGTCCACAATGTATGCCGAGTTTGTAGCGTGTTATGAGGCAACGGGGCAGGTGAACTGGCTAAAGAAGTCCATACCCGGTTTGAAGGTGGTTGACGACATCTATTGACCACTTAAGTTATACTGCGATAATAATCCGGCACAGTATGCTCACAACAATAAGTTAAGTAGTGCTGCCAAACACATTGAAATAAAGTATTATGTTGTGAAAGATAAAATCTGGGATCATGTTATAAGTCTTGAGCATATAAGAACAGAAAAGATGCTCGTAGATCCGCTTACAAAAGGCTTACCACCAAACGTGTTCAGAGAACATGTAGCCGGCATGGGTTTAAGAAAAGCCTATAATTCCTAGACAAAAGAAGGCACAAAGATAAGTATCTATTTCAGAATATAGTGGTGTGTTGTAGCTGTTAAATCTATCGACAATGGAGCGTGACGATGAGACATGCTCTATGAACTAATCAGTAATGGAATGAACAAAAGTAAATGATATAAAAATAAAAGATGGAAGAAGATCAAGGGGGAGATTGTTAGATTGATCTCTAATCCTAACTGGACCCAATGGCCCAATTGGGCCTTTGATTCGCGCCCTGATCGGGGGCGCCCAGCCCACCATGGCTGGAGGGCCTCTGTCATACTGCGCTATAAAAAGAGGTGGGGGCCGGCGGCTCTTATCATGAGGTTGACCTGAGCCGAGCTCCCCACCAACATCTAAACCCTAATCCGATCAGAGAGGGATGCAGCCAGTGACGGGAAGCCACTAGCCGCGCCGCCTCCGGACTGCGTCACCGGACTTCACTGCCTTCACCGCCGGTCGCCACTGCCCATCACCGACGTTCTCTTCCCCGACCATCGCTGCCCTAGCGCAGATCGACTCCATGGCGGACGCGAGCGGATCTTCCACTGTGGTGTCAGGTTTGACACGTCCATCTTCTACTCCACCCCTCTATGTCTCTCGTTGCAATAGTAGATGTACTAGGGCTCTCGTGATTCTATTTAACAGCAAGTACCCGACTAGATCTATGATCCTAGTGATCCTATAGGTCTAACACCTCCCTCTCCCTTGTGTTGTTTTCAAGGCTGCTACCTAGGTTACTTGCATTGGGTGGCGGGCACTGGAGGCATCTGTGTCGCCTGATGCGACCTAAAGAGCATGGCCTGATTGTTTTGATCCTTCACATGTCTTCCGGCCTGTTCGCATGTTGGTTTCAGCCAGACCAAATCAGCCAGCCAACAGTGTTTTCCTCTAAAAAAATCAGCACCAGCACAAACCAGCGAACAGGGCCTTCGTGTCCTTCAAGGCTCGATATTGGTCTACTGGGCGTTTCTTCGATGCGTCTTAGAAAAAAAAATGCCCATTTAAGTCCACTTCTCTACAATTGAGCAACATGATACATGAACCAGAAAACATAAGATGTTGTGTCATGGGGTTAGAGTGAGCGCTAATAAGTGGCATATAAACTTTCTCATATGAGATGAAGGAACTATTAAAAGCGGTATAAAAGTGTCACCATAAATAGCGCCAACACAATCTGTACACTTGGCTCTCAGACCGTCCCGGTCAGCACTCAGCAGGATTGGTGATAAACAAAAGGGGTTACTTACTTCAGACAAAACTCACTTTTGGTCACCGTCTCGCCGGGTTTTTTTTTAGTTTAATTTTATAACTAGGCTGTCACAAACAAAGCAAATAAGCAATGCCAGTTACCGGGACTTTCATTCCCAGCCCCGTGGCATCCTTCCAAACCAAAGCCAGCTGAACAGTTCGAGGTCAAGCGACAAGCGGCCGGGCAAGCGTCCATCATGCTTTGCATTTTCCGCACGCCATGAAGCTCCTGATTGATTGCCGGCCTATAGGAACTTCCGTCTTATTTTGTCTTAGGCTCTTGAAGTCTTGGTGAATTTGAGAACTCGTTGGATTGACGGACATGTAAATGTCAGGTCCCATCTTCAGTTTCGACCTCTAATAAGGCCTTGTTTAGTTGCACCTCAAAATATCAAATTTTTTAAGATTTTCTCGTCACATCGAATCTTTGGACACATGCATAAAGCATTAAATATAAATAAAAAATAAAACTAATTATACAGTTTAGACAAAATTCACGAGACGAATCTTTTAAGCCTAATTAGACTATGAGTGAACATTAATTACCAAATAACAACGAAAAGTGCTACAGTGTCATTTTGCCAAAATTTTCACATCTAAATTGGCCCTAATTCCATCTCTTCTGAAGTTTGAGTCACAGGTTTCTAACATAAGTGATCTGGATGCGGTTATGTATATAAAAATATATTTCATGGTGTATTTATTTTTCTCGAATGCTCAAAAGGTTTTCGCATCTTCGTATTAAGATCGAGAAATAGTAAAAATTACAACGACGCGCCACGAACATGGCACACTAGGAGAGGGTTAATGTTATACAATCAGCTCTATCCTCCCTAGCATAAGAAGATCATGGGCTATTACTCGCTAATCATACTACATAGCCATCATCGGCGATCAAACGTGCTGGCTTGTGCAGCGTCTCTGTTGCTCTCCTTGTGGGTCCCAAAAGAACTATCGTATTGCCTCAGCATATGAGGGGTTGAATTGATCGACGAAGATACTGGCCCTGTTCATTTCTCTTATAATTCGTACTTTTCGACTTATTTTTTTTTAGCCAAAAAAGTATTTTTCTCTCACGACGAATCAGCCAGAATAGTGTTTCGTCTTTTTTTTTTTAGCGAAGCGAACGGGGCCACTATCTTATCGTAGACGTTCTTGGTTGTCGTGGAATGCCTCGTCTGTCCGTCGAGGAATCTTATCCACTTCGTCACCTCTCTCTCTCTCTCTCCGCTTAAAAGCCAGGACGCGTGAAAGCACATGAGCACCGATCCTCCTACTACGGATAGCTACACAAATTGATTTGTTTTTGAAAGGGGGAGCATGTACTAAGAGACGACAGATGCAACTCCGCTGCAATACTTACTACTACTAGTATTTAGGGTCAAATTCACTGTTGTCAGGGCAGAAGGTGACGGTGTAGGTGGTGTTGACGACGGCGCAGCTGAAGCTGGTGGAGGCGGAGGCGGCGTCGACATCAGCGTAGCTTTTGGCCGTCGGGCACGCGTTCTTCAATGACCCGGAGTTCTCCGATGGCCTGCACGCCACAACACGGCCGGACGCGTTCACCTGCTGGTCGGCCGGGCACGCGCTGTTGAGGTCCACCACGCACTGAGTCGGAGCGCACTGGCCGCCGCCATGGCTCGTGTCGTAAGGCGCCATGAGCATGGGCAGGTTGTACCCGTCGGCGAGGCTGATGTCGTAGGTGTCCGTGCCGCCTTTGCCGCCGAGCGCGAACTCGGCGACCGTCGCTGCCGGCGCGGGCCGGCCGCCGCCACCTCCGTCGCACTCCAGACGGCCGGAGCCGCAGTCGCCCGTGGCGCACGTGAACTTGCCGTTGCCGTCGGTAGAGCAGTCGGTCCGGCCCCAGATGCGACCCGACCACCCGTGTGGCATCGGGATTCCGAGGAGGTACTCGTACCCCTTGAGCTCGACGGGGGTGAAGCTTAGCGGCGGCGAGCCCTGTCTGGGGGCGATCACCGGCGCCACCCTGTAGCTGCAGTTGTTTTTTATGTCCAAGGTATCCACGTCCGGCGACGGCGCGAAATCATCTGAATCGGAGAACAGAGAGCACAAACAAGAGGCAACGCAACATTAGCGCCATAGCACCAACACATACAAACTAATGATACACGAAATCGGATCCTAGTTCGTCCTGGAGAATGGAGATGCAGGGACAGGATTAGTTGGCTGCTTACCGCTAGCGGAGACGCCGAGGACAACCAAGAATGTGAACAGTGCGCGGCAAGCTGCCCTCGTCGTCGTCGTCGCCATTGTGGACGGGATAGAGGCGAGGCGGAGCCGTTTGGTGACGCAGTGCTGCCGGTGTGGCTAGGAGAGCGAGTGCCACGAGCTATTTATAAGAGAGAGCGCCATATATTCTGATGATGATGTTAGCAAAGGATTAATATCGGAGATATTTTAACGGCATTATTAATATTTTCGTTTCGACATAAATGCCAACTCGTGTACACAGGATAATCTACTCCCTCCAGTCCATTTATCAGATTGTCTGACCTCCTAGATTAGTAGTGTGCCCCAATGCTAACGCAACGGCAAAATATAAGACAAGTTAAAATTTGTAAAAAAAAAACATTTGAATTCATTAAGATTCACGTCTTATATATTGTGAGACCAAATATTTTTCACATAATGAATGTAACGTAACGACTGTCAGTCTCTCTCATGAGCGGACCCTGCTCGTTAGCCTCACATTCTTTATAACAACAGTAATAATACATAGAGAACTCACATTTTCTATTTTTACATATTTTTAACTATTTTAAAACTATTAAACAACCATATCACAAGATAAAACTATAACTCAGAAAATATGCACCCATTATACATTACCATAGCTTCTACACATCAGTATTATCTTACCATAAAGAGGGCAGATTTAGAAAAAATACCAAAAGTAGTAAAACATGGATAATAAACTCTGGCAGTAGCCTTCATAAAGGGCATAAACCAATTTGATAGTAATTCATGGCAAATCTGATTGTATATATGGGAATAAATTGAAAAGGCATGATTGAACTCCCAGCTTTGTTTTTAGCAAATTTAGCGGGTGCTCTGCCATTTCATTATAGGAGAAAGCAGTACAACAGTTCAAAGAAGCATGATCCTAGTTTACATAGAAAAAGAAGAAAAAAAACAACAACTTATACTTCCTTGCTAAAGAGTCAGAACTCGGTTTGTTGGTCAGCCATTGCTTGTGTTAGCATTGCTGTATCATTCAATTGAGCCTCTAGTATTTGTTAACGTTGCTGGACCTATAGTTCAGGTTATAGTTGTTTGCAAAAGGAATGATAGCAATTCAGGCTCAATTATTGCCATATTTCTTTTAGACCAAACCTAAACTTGCTATCTCAGTTTGAAATTAAGATTCAGATGCTGAGATACAAAAATATGTAACTGACAACGTGAGAAGGGCTGGCTTGCTAACCCAGACATGAACTGACATAGATAAACCTTGAAGCTACACAATTCAGCTCTTCTGCGTATCGATCTGTACTTCAGTGCTGCATGTTGGAAGAAACTTGTGTCCTGTCTAGCCAAGACTAACAGATGGTTTGGTATTAGGAAAAATTAATGAAGTTTGTAGCATTACTAAAGCAGCCATGGAACAGATCCTGATAAATGAAAACAGCAGCATTTTTTACATAAAGAACTAGTAATAATCAAATTGTGTCATAACAAAATTAGAACTAAGATTATTTTCTCAAAAAATCAAACTTTTTGTTTGAAGCAAAGCATTTGCTAGGGACTGAACCACATGCATGTCAGGGCTAAATTTTCAAGTGATTGAAAGCTGAATTTTCAACTCATGACCAAATAATGTGCATACATGTATTTGTTCAGGAAGCCCTATTCATTCATAACCTGAGAGCAGGGGCGGTACCGATTTTTTTAAGAAAATATTCAGTACTGAATAGATGCAATTATATCAAGCAAGAGCGGGGGGCATGTTCCCTGATTTCTATCAAGATGAGAGAACATTCTTTATAGCATGTATTGCCCCTAAACCAGCAACTACCCATAGTGCACGACGTTTAAAGAAGAAACTCTGCTTGTCACTCTGTCTCAACAAGAACACCAAGAACTAAAATGGAGGTAAAATAGTGCTTGCAGTAAGCTGATGGGTTGATGGTTTGCTTATTATATAGTAACGGACGAGCAACAAAAAAACAAGAAAAAGAAAGACCAATATATAATCCCAGTTGCTCAGAACCATGATACAAGGTAGCAATACAAATTACAATTTGGTTAGTGAACCAGGACTGTAGGAAAAAACAAAAAGAAATCATAGTTGCAGATTGTAGCAGAACCAGTTCTAAGCGAAGGAGCAGGGAATAAACAATCGAAACATTGAATAGTCAAAAATATCTCCTATGCAAAAATAATCACTGGGGATTGCCGGATCATGAACAGTACTTTTGTGACAAGTTCATGTGATTGGCCGATTGATATATGTATATAAACTTAGAACTATCTAAAGGATGAGCAAAGACCAACTATGTTGTCGCAGCAACCAAAATCAAATGGCACAAAAACAATTTCCCTAAACAGGTCAAGCAAACTCGGTGTGGTCCAAGTGCTAATAATGCTGCAATACAGGCAGTACTGGAGACCGAGAAGTTGATTGACAAGTGTATATAAAAAAACTCGACTGGGGGGTGTTTAACACTGCCGCACAGCATTACAAATAAGAAGAAGGACCTTCTCACTCGGCCAAGAAAACCCCCGAACCCCCGCCCCCACCCTTACACGGTGGCTTTCCGTCGCCCAAGTGAGAATTGGGCCGGTGCCCCCCAAGTGCTTTGGTTATGGGGACGGACGAGGGCTAGGTCACCTAACCGTTTGAGCTAGGCGCCCTTTGGCTGACAAGTGTATATTGGACATTCAGTTAACTGACATTAATTCAGTGGTATCTGAAAGATGGTCTGAAACAAGCATCCACCTATCTATACACTTATAAAGTGTAACAAACAAGAAGCAAATCAGTAGCACCTCTCTCTGACACAGCAATAATGTTTAAACCATGTTTTTTCAGTGTACCTAGCTCACTGCAGTCGCGCTTGTTGATTCACGTACGTAATCAGGTTGAAGCCGACTCCCCTAGTGCCTTGGCGGCTGCACCGATCTTGGTCAAATTACTGATGTGTTTTGAAAGATTGCAGAGGGGGTGAATTTGGAATTTATGCGTGAGAGGTAGTCCTGCTTTGGCTCAACAATTACAAAATGAATAAATGTATATCAAATTTTTAGTATTTGTCGGTGGGGTCATACAATAAATAGATATTGAGAATAGAATCACGACTAAAGATAACAGATTTAGAAAAATACCAAAGATAGTAAAACATGGTATAACAGATCGGCTAATATGTCGTACAAAGGGCATAAACCAACTTGATGTCATTTGATGGAAAACATTGATTACTATTGATGCAGGTGTAATCAAACATTTGATGCAGGAGTAAACCTATTTGAAAATATAAATATTCATATTATTTTTTATAAACATGGTAGCTCTAGTTCTAGCCTGTGTGATCTTGGTTCGGTGTAATATCAGAGCTTCTGCCTTGTCTGCTTGGTAGGCCAGCAATTCAACAAACACTGAGCAGCCTAGAGGGGGCTTGATGGTCACAAGTTGAAGGTCACAAAAAATTAATAGTATTGTCAGGTGATTACAGAAGATTAATAGTATTGCCAGGATTGCACATATGCTTAGTCAAAACGAACAAAAGTATTGCAGCTAAGCTCAAAACTGCACATAAGCTTATGGCAACTAAATTCAACTAAGCTCAATACTGCACATAAGCTCATTGCAAATAGAAAATATTAACTTAAGCATCGACCTACCGACAATAAATCCCTTTAACTAAGAGTCAGTGTTACCTACCAAAAAATTTGGTGAACCAATATTCTGTTCAGTCCTATTTACTTTCCGACAACAACTCTACGAGCTAGTGATGGAGGTTAGTATCCTGAAAAATCCAATGTTTCATGAAACAGTCTGAACACTATGGTCAACAAGCCAATCTCTTATTCAGTCCTATTCACTTTCTGACAACAGCTCTACGTGCTAGTGATGGAGGTTAGTATCCTGAAAAATCCAAGGTTCATGAACCAGTGTGAACAGTATGGCACTCACAAACACCTAGACTGACCTTAGGCCGGCCTTCAGTGCTGCGTGTGATGTGTGTTTCGCGATGGCGTCGAGCGACAGAGGTGGGCGACGGGTGGCGATGTTGGCTCTCCATGCATGTCCTCACGCGTGCTGTGGGCTATCGCATTGGGCAAGGAGGGAGCGCAATGGCAGGCGGACTGCAGCAATGGCGACGCCGGCTTGTGGCAACTCAGGCAATGGCGTGTGGCGTCAACTTGCCAAACGAAAATCAAGATATGATGAGGTTAAACAACGAAAAATTCTTGTACATGATTACATGATGAGGGGGAGAGAGAGAGAGAGATAACTGACCAAGTCACCAGAATGTCGCGCTGCTTGTAACTTGAATTCTTGATGCGTGCCTTGCCAGGCGTGTGTCAGCACTCGGTAGGGTCACCCTCGGACACCTGCCCGGTCGTATGTTGGTGGCTCGGCATCTCGGTGGCGGCAGAGCTCCGATAGGACGGGATGGCCGAACGGCTGATGCGTCGGTGATGCTGCCGTGATGGCAAACGGCCGAACGGCTGATGCGCCGGTGACAGCAGACGGCCGTTGTACCAGCACCGATGACGGCGGACTGCCGATGTGAGAAAATGCCTGAAAACCCATCATGTCGCCATCTTGATTCAAATTGCTTCCTTTCCATCTTGATCACGGTGGGATTTATTGTAAATTGCTTTCTTTCCATCTTGATCGTGGTGGGCATTGATTGTTGCGGGGATGTAGGGGGCGCCGGGCGACGCAGGGCGACGCGGAGCTGGGCAGACGAAGAAAAAAAAAGATTGAAGATAGAGAGATATGTAGAGAAGAGAAGAGACGTAGAGACTAAGAGATTTTGCCGGGGTAACGAAGGGGCGAGCAGGGCGACGCGGAGATTTGGGGTGGGATGACGAAGAAAAAAAGATTGAAGATAGAGAGATCAAAACCGCTTCAGCTCCACCGATATGTAGAGTTGAAGAAAAAAAAAACTTCACTACTGATGTACCAGACTAAATAAAAGGCTAGATCAAGAAGACAGATCGCTCCGCTCCGCTAATCCAAGCCAAACGCTCAGCTAGTCAGCTCTGCCCTTTCGGCCTTTCCCTCGACGGCCCTGTTGGGG